TGTCCTTGGGAAAACTATGTATCCCAGTCCTGGTCTACTATTCTACAGCAAACCCTGAATGGCTTAGCACCCAAATGGCCTTGGCAGAGGCTGGGGTTGGGTGGGCCTTCTATTTCACACCTCTGTGCTTATGTAGTCTGTGTCTCAGAAATATCCTGATGGAGGACTCCAAACTCTTCCCTCTGCTGCCACCAGTGACTCTCCCAAAACACAAGTTAGGTTACTGCCTCCTCAAAAACCTTCAGGGGTTCCCCAATGCCTATGACAAGCAAAGCCTTCATGACTGGGTGCCAGAATACTTACATTCTCCACTCCATCTAGGCCACTCCAAAGACCCCTGGCTACAGCCACACTCAGGCATTTACTGTGGTCTCAGCATGTCCCTATTTCCTCCATCATCCTAATTAGGGAAAACTTGCCTAGATTTACCAGACTTTACATCTCTGTGTGTCAACATCCTCACCTGTAAAACCGGGGCAAGAGTAATACCTACTTATAGAGTTGTAGTTAGGACTCAGTGAGTCACAGGCATCCAGTCTCAGAATGATGCCTGGCATCTGGTAAACCTAGACAGGTAATATTATTAGTTGAGCATTCTCCTTATGGTATGGAACTAGGTTTAATAAGACCTCCTCCTAAACCAGGCTCAGCCTCCCAAACCAGAGGTAATGACAGCTCTTTCTGTTCTCACAGCCCATGCTAGTGGAACCCCCAACTTGTTCTTACCCAATTCTGTGCTTTTATGTGCTTGTCTTCTCCTCTGTTAAACTATAAGCATTTTGAAGACAGGGATCTAGTCTAATCCATTAGACTGTGCGGAAGTTCTTTAAGGGATCTAAAGTTTAGCACTTTAGATCCCTTAAAGAACAGATTCCTTAAAGAACTTCCATGACAACTTGCACATAGTAGGCTCTCGCTGAATATTTGCTGGATGGCAATTAATCTGAGAAAAAGATTAAAAGCAGGCAGTCAAAGTGCACAGACTTTTTGGATTCCATGTGAGGATTCAGTGTGAGAACCCAGGTGTTTACTCCATACCAACTACCCACTGGAGAAATCTCATCACCCCAAAAAGCATGTGTAAATGCAACTATGTGGAGGTGGCTCTGGAATAAACTGAATGTGATTGTAACCAGGGATCCTGAATGGAGATTTCAGGAATCCACGAATTTACTTCAACTGTGGTCAAAAGGGGATCCAATGTACTTATTATTTTTTCCTAGAGAGACTTCCTAGAGAGTTTTCATTGAAGGTTCATAGGGTTGGTAAGGCCCCCAAATTAAGACCTCTTGACTTAGCTATTCAGAGACAAAGTTTGTGCCCCTCTAGGGCTTTACAAATGAGGAAAGATGTAGCTATCCTTACAAGGCACCACCCCACTAAGTAGGGAGAATTGGGCAACGGGTGCTTCATGATTTTAGGGAAGGCTCCTTCAATAATTCCATGTTAAGAGACCAGCAAGGAAGGGAAATAATAGGCAGAGGGAGCCGGGGACTTGGAAGCCTCCACGGCTCACTCCTCCTCGGCGGGTGTGGAGCCAAAATTTATCCATCATTACATGTGTGTCCTCAATCTGGGGCCCAGACACTCGCCATTCAGCTCTGTCTGGACGTGAGGGTTGTTTTCTGTTGAGGTGACTCAAAAACATACTACCTCAGGATTCAGACATACAAAACAAGGCTGCTCACCTAATGATCATGCAGAGTTAAGTGACACTTAAACACTAGGGTAAACCCGATACCAGAACAAAGGGAAGGAAAAGACCATTAGTGCAGAGTCCCCGTTGAATCTCCTGCTGGCAGGTGATTTGGAAGGAGCCTTCACGCAGGAGTCTGTTTTATTTGCAGAAGCCACAGTGGTAAATTAAAGCCCATCTTAGCCCATTCCGGGCTCTCCAGTTCCTCTTGGAGCTATTCCTATCGCTGCCCATAGGCCACTAAAACCTGCCCACATTCAGAATGATTGATTCTGCTCAAACTGCAAGCCACAAACTCATGTCGAAAAATCCTCTTCAAATCAGTCATTAGCTTCCTTTATGGATTTTTCAGGTCATGAGGAATAGGACCTGAAAGTCCCATTTACTGGAGAGTAGAAAGCAGGTGTCGGAAGAGGCGGGGGCAACTGGAAAAGCCACAGGGAGCTGGGGGAGCCCTTGTTTTCTACCAATCAACAAAGGGGATTTAGCAAAAATTTACCCATGACTTCATTGCCAGTGCCAGATATTCAAATGCAAACCAAAGGGCCCTGGGGTCTTTCTGTATACTGGGAGTCAAGGGAAATGGAGAGAGGGCTCAGCAGGGGCCCATCTTTGCTCCCAGGTCAGACGGAGGATATGGAGCACCTGGGACATAGAAAGACATGGTAAGGGAGGAGTGTCTAAGACTTTCTCACTTGTCATGGGATGGTCCATTCCAGCTGGGCTATGAGGGAGACCATGGTGGGCTGGTGGGATAAGGCATCCCAGCGACAGGAACTGAGGCCTTAGCAGCAGCCCAAAGGCAACCAACACAAGAAGCCTGAGTTCTGTAGCTTGGCAAGTTTCCGCTCACCACCTGACCCACGTTTAGCAATTCTGATGTACCATGAAGCAGACAGCTCCAGCCCAGGATGACTGCCTCCCTCAGCCCCTCTCCGGCAAGGAATGAAAGCAAGATCCACTTTGAAAATTCTCCCCCATCATGCAAACTGACATAGGCATGCTTTTCAAAAACCCACAGCCAATCTGTTGATCATTACTTATTTACAAAGGCCTTCGGGCAGAAAGTCCTGTAAAAACCATACTTGATACGATATACACTAGCTTTTTCTGCTTGTGGAAAAAAAGTCCCCCCAAGGCTACCTCAAACCATCACTTTCTATTGCACATAAAATGTAGCGTGTAACACTAAAGTATTTAATATATATGGTATAATATATCTACAGGAAAGGCATTTGTGTAGAAGTATGTTACCCTGGATTTGGTAATTTGATGTTTTGCTGAAGGCTACGACTTAAAAAAGCCTCCACCTCATACAGAAGACCTGTCATCTTAGTACCCAAGAGCCAACAGAATAAAGAAGTAGCCTTAAGCAGCAAAACTTTGACACAGCTTTGAAGCATATGAAAACAGTATAACTCCTCAGAATTATTATTACTCAAGATCAAAGAAATGAGCCATACTTTACATAGCAAACAGGGACAGGGAATTTGGCTCCAACGGTTTCAGATTTTTCAGACTTCTCTTTATTTATTTATTTGCTTCTCTAAATTTAGGCAAAGGAAAGTGGCTGGGCTTTTCTCTACTTTAAATGGGAATAACTATTAGAATTAGATAAGGCGATTACCTAAAGGTGAGTAAATAGGAAATGAATGCTAGCATGACAACTGGCGTCATAAAAACGAAAAGCTTGGCAGTTGGCACATTTTATTCCTCCTCATAAACTGTAAACAAGCATGTAAATCAGCAACACCCAAGGAAGGCTGGGTGAATGGGAAGGCAGAGAACTTTTAAGGAAACATTTAACAGGAATAGACGGGGATATGAAAAAGGAGTTGGGTGGAGTGGGTCTTCCACGGAGAACCTGTGTCCTCAACCATATGAAGAAAGACTGTCCTTGCCTATTTTCCAGAAAGGTAGACATGGAGGGCCAGGGACATGCAAATGTTACTGAAGATGGGGAATGGAAATCACCACTATTGTATTTCAAAAATCAAAGCCAGTGGTCATGACAAGAGAAAAGTAATGTCAAGATGGCAGGCATTTCCAGAGCAGCAACCACATAGGATGAGCAGTGCAAATCTGAAATCACTCCTATTTCATTTGGGTGGTAGAGAGTCAGGATGTCGGAGGAAAAAAATGCTGGGATTGGCAGATGAATTGAAGACAAAAAGGAGAGATAAAAGATGGAGAGGCCAAGAAGAGGAAACTGCAGAACGCTGTTGAAATTTGACTTCACTTGCTATTTACCAGAGGAAGCCATAGTCAAGAAAGAAGTGAGGGAGAAAGAGAGAGAAGGAGGAAGGGAGGGAGGGAGGGGGGAAGAAAGGAAGGGGAAACTGCAGAACGCTGTTGAAATTTGACTTCACTTGCTATTTACCAGAGGAAGCCATAGTCAAGAAAGAAGGGAGGGAGAAAGAGAGAGAAGGAAGGAAGGAAGGAAGGAAGGAAGGAAGGAAGGAAGGAAGGAAGGAAGGAAAAGGGAAGGGAAGGGAGAAAGAGACAGAGGGAGGGAAAGAGAATGAAATGAGCATCATTTCCAAATTCAGGCTGGGCACAGTCACTCAAGCCTGTAATCCCAGCACTT